GCCTCAATCATCATCAAACTTGGTCAGGATGTTTGTCTTGGTGATAGCTCGGATGAGTTCGAACATGGGTCATCTCGGATGAAAAAGTAGGTCACCGGAGCTAAAAATAGAAAAACCTTGTTAACACTCTAGCGGTCACATTTTTGCATCAATCATCATCAAACTTGGTCAAGATGCTTGTCTAGGTGATAGCTCGGATGAGTTCGAACATGGGTCATCTCGGATGAAAAAGTAGGTCACCGGAGCTAAAAATAGAAAGTCACCGGAGCTAAAAATAGAAAAACCTTGTTAACACTCTAGCGGTCACATTTTTGCATCAATCATCATCAAACTTGGTCAGGATGCTTATCTAGTTGATAGCTTGGATGAGTTCGAACATGGGTCATCTCGGATGAAAAAGTAGGTCACCGGAGCTAAAAATAGAAAAACCTTGTTAACACTCTAGCGGTCACATTTTTGCATCAATCATCATCAAACTTGGTCAAGATGCTTGTCTAGGTGATAGCTCGGATGAGTTCGAACATGGGTCATCTCGGATGAAAAAGTAGGTCACCGGAGCTAAAAATAGAAAAACCTTGTTAACACTCTAGCGGTCACATTTTTGCATCAATCATCATCAAACTTGGTCAGGATGCTTATCTAGTTGACAGCTCGGATGAGTGTGAACATGGGTCATCTCGGATGAAAAAGTAGGTCACCGGAGCTAAAAATAGAAAAACCTTGTTAACACTCTAGTGGTCACATTTTTGCATCAATCATCATCAAACTTGATCAAGATGCTTGTCTAGGTGATAGCTCGGATGAGTTCGAACATGGGTCATCTCGGATGAAAAACTAGGTCACAGGAGCTAAAAATAGAAAAACCTTGTTAACACTCTACTGGTCACACAATTTTGACTCAATTGTCATCAAACTTGGTCAGGAAACTTGTCTAGGTCATTGCTGGGAAGAAATTGAACATGGGTCATCTCGGATGAAAAAGTAGGTCACCGGAGCTAAAAATAGAAAATCTTGTTAACACTCTAGTGGCTACTGTTGTGATCCAAATATTCTGTTAATTGGTCTGAAAGTTTGTTTTGATGATTTCTAAGTCAAGTTCGAACATTGGTCATCTTGGATGAAAAAAACTAGGTCACACCGCCCAAATATGGAAAAACCTTGTTAACATTCTAGTGGTCACATTTTCGACTCAATTATCATCAAACTTGGTCAGGATGCTTGTATAGGTAATTGCTTGGATGAGTTCGAAATCGCATGTGGAACTAGGTCACCGGAGCTAAAAATAGAAAAAATCTTGTTAACACTCTAGTTGCTACTGTTTTGATCCAAGTATCCTTGAAATTGGTCTAAAAGTTTGTTTTGATGATTTCTAGGTCAAGTTTGAATATGTGTCACCTGGGTAAAAAACTAGGTCGCACTGCTCAAATATGGATAATCCTTGTTAACACTGTAGTGGTCACATTTTTGACTCACCTGTCATGAGACTTGGTCAGAATGCTTGTCTAGGTAATTGTTTGGATGAGTTTGATAAATCAGGTGAGCGATCTAGGGCCATCATGGCCCTCTTGTTTTAGCAAAAATTAGTTGAAATATTCTAAAGTGAACCATGCTCTGTGTACATGACCTTATTGGTAGTCATTGTATATCTCAATATTGTCCCAAAAAACAATGGTGTGTATGCACATGTGAAAAATAACACCAATGTTGTGTATGCATACGTAAAACACTTAAAAAGATACCAAGCTTTTGTAAGCACATGTGAAACACTTAAAACAACACCAATGTCGTGTATGCACATGGGAAACACTTATAATAACAACCCAATGTTGGGTATGCACATGTGAAACACTTAAAATAATACCAAGGTTGTGTAAGCACCTGTGAAACACTTAAAATAACAACCAAATGTTAAGTGGGCACATGTGAAACACTTTAAAACAACAACGTTTTGTATGCACATGTGAAGCACTTAAAATAACAACTATGTTATGTAAGCACATGTGAAACACTTAAAAAGACACCAAAGCGGTGTAAGCACATGAGAAACATTAAAAATAACCAATGGTGGGTATACACATGTGAAACACTTAAAATAACAACAATGTTGTGTATACACATGTGAAACACTTAAAATAACTGTAATGGTGTGTATACACATGTGAAACACTTAAAATAACTGTAATGGTGTGTATACACATGTGAAACACTTAAAATAACTGTAATGGTGTGTATACACATGTGAAACACTTAAAATAACTGTAATGGTGTGTATACACATGTGAAACACTTAAAATAACTGTAATGGTGTGTATACACATGTGAAACACTTAAAATAACTGTAATGGTGTGTATACACATGTGAAACACTTAAAATAACTGTAATGGTGTGTATACACATGTGAAACACTTAAGATAATACCAAGGTTGTGTAAGCACCTGTGAAACACTTAAATTAACAACCAAATGTTGGGTATGCACATGTGAAACACTTAAAAACACAACAATGTTTTGTATGCACATGTGAAGCACTTAAAATAACGTTTGTTTGTTTCATTTTACGCCTTTTCCCAACAGAATTTCAGTCATATACGCGGGTAGTTTCCTAACCGTCGTTCCTGGAGAGTTACACCAGTACTAGACTATCTTCCTTCGCGCTAAACTACCAAAGCATCTCCCAGGGATCACAAACCCACGCCACAGAGGCAACTGGATTAGAAGTCATCGACTCTAACCCCTCAATCACGGAGGCGGTACTTAAAATAACAACAATTTTATGTAAGCAACAATTTTATGTAAGCACATGTGAAACATTTAAAATAACAACAAGTTTGCTTATGAACTTGTGAAACACTTGAAATAACAACAACATTGTATTGAAATAACAACAATGTTGTGTATGCACATGTGAAACACTTGAAATAACAACAATGCTGTGTATGCACACATGGTGACATACTTGAAATAACAACAATGTTTTGTATGCACATGTAAAGCACTTAAAATAATTCGAAGGTTGTGTAAGCACCTGTGAAACACTTAAAATAACAACCCAAAGTTTGGTATGCACATGTGAAACACTTAAAAGCACAACAATGTTTTGTATGCACATGTGAAACTCTTAAAAGCACAACAATGTTTTGTATGCACATGTGAAATGTTTAAAATAACAACAAGTTTGTGTATGAACATGTGAAACACTTGAAATAACAACAATGTTGTGTATGCACATGTGAAACACTTAAAAATAACAACAAAGTTGTGTGTGTACTTATGAAACACTTGAAATAACAACAATGTTGTGTATGCACATGTGAAACACTTAAAAATAACAACAAAGTTGTGTGTGTACTTATGAAACACTTCAAATAACAACAATGTTGTGTATGCACAAGTGAAACACTTAAAAATAACAACAATGTTGTGTATGCACATGTGAAACACTTAAAATAACAACAATGTTGTGTGGGCACATGTGAAACACTTAAAATAACAACAATGTTGTGTATGCACAAGTGAAACACTAAAAATAACAACAATGTTGTGTATGCACATGTGAAACACTTAAAATAACAACAATGTTGTGTGGGCACATGTGAAACACTTAAAATAACAACAATGTTGTGTATGCACATGTGAAACAATTAAGATAACACCTATGTTGTGTAAGTATATGCTTGTGAAACACTTAAAATAACAACAATGTTGTGTATGCACATATGGTGAAACACTTAAAATAACATCTATGTTGTGTAAGTAAATGCTTGTGAAACACTTATAATAACAACAATGTTGTGCAAGTACATGTGAAACACTTGAAATAACTCAAATTGTGTATGCACACATGGTGAAACGCTAATAATAACAACAATGTTGTGAAAGTACATACAAAACACTTAAAATAACACCAATGCTGTGTAGGCACATGTGAAACACTTAAAATAACAACAATGTTGTGAATGCACATACAAAACACTTATAATAACACCAATTAATGTTGTGTAGGCACATGAAAAATACTTGAAATAATACCACTGTGGTGTAGGCACATGTGAAACACTCAAAATAACACAAATGTTGTATATGCACATGTGAAACACTTACAATAACACCAATGTTGTGTATGCACATACAAAACACTTAAAATTACACCATTGTTGTGAAGTCATATGTGAACCACTTAAAATAACACCAATGTTGTGTAGGCACATCTGAAACACTTGAAATGATGCCAATGTTGTGTAGGTATATGTGAAACACATATAATAACACCTATGGTGTGTATTCACATATGAAACAATTGAAATAATACCCATGTTGTGTAGGCACATCTGAAGCACTTAAAATAACACCAATGTTGTATATGCACATGTGAAACACTTATAATAACACCAACGTTGTGTATTCACATATGGAACACTTAAAATAACACCAATGTCGTGTAGGCATATGATTGTATACTCAACAGAATATTGTAAGATATGATTGCAGGCAGAACAGACATGATTGTATACTGAACAGACATGATTGTAATCAGAACAAACATGATTGTTTACAAGTAGAACAGATATGATTGTAAGTAGAACAGACACAATACATGATTGTCACTAGAACAGATATGATTGTAAGCAGGGATGTTTATTATACAAGCTTTTAAGCTTGCAAGTTTATTCTAGAATATTTTGCTGGAACAGTATGTGGTTCGTTTTCACTGACCACAGATTTGACATATTTTGGGTGAAAAAATGTTATCTAATCAAATTTTGACCAATGTTAACCGGCATCGCGGAAATACACTAGACTATTAAGGTCAGGTTGAAAGAGTTATTTAAAGTTTGACATAGACCTCTTACAATAAAGACTGTTTGTATAATTTATTACGTTCACGCCATTATAAACTGTGTAGGTTTGTATTTCCCGCGGAAAAATACTTCGTAAAAACAGTTACGTCCCTTTACAACAAGTGCGCTGTAAATTGACGTGGGGGCGCTAACAGAGAAATTTGACAACTAAAACTTGTATCCAGCTTGAAGTTGTATAGTTAGATGAAACCGGTAACCAATCTTCATATACATGGTCTTCTGAATTTTACTTCCTGAAATATATGATAAAGAAAGACATATCACCGGAAAACTTTTGTTGTTTAAAAACGAATCGATGGTAGGTTTATAAGATTATCTTTATTAATTCAATAGTTTGTAGATGTTTATTGAAACTTTCCTTATTTCAAGAATATTTCGCTTATGAGTTATGTACAAATGAAATGGGAGGGTATCCCAACGTACAATTTAGGGGAATTTTACTTCCTTAAAAATAAGATGGCAATCGACATATATATTTTAAATTAAATGTAAGTTGTTTTCGAAAACTCATAGTCGGTTTAGAGTAGCGGCTTGTTTATTTTGTCTTGCCAGTTTGTTTATAGTCTCACAATCGGAGATCTAAATTGTGTTGTAACGTCTATTTTTAACAGTGGGGAATGGTGTGAACTTTGACTAGTCTTGCAGGGGGAAGCCTTGCAGGGACAAATGGTACCTGACCTGGCTATTGTAAATAAATCAAACAATTAGACAGCCAAAGCTAGATTTCACATTCAAGATCATTTTTTTTTATTTTTGGTCAGAATCTGCTTCTTAATTGAGGAGGAAACATCCGCTGCATTTTTGCTACAAAACTAAAGACAGTTTTCACCTGGCTGTGTGGGACAGTTTGATGGGTTTTGTTAGTTGCACTTTGACTCAATTTCTTTGTAATACCCTTCAACCAAGGTGACTTTAAAACCTGTGATTGATAAGATATTCTAAAATATCAGTGAATACTGGATTGCAGTGGTGAACAGAGGTGCTCAGTTGTGTAGAAAATAATAGTTATATGAGCTGCGCCATGATAAAACCAACATAGTGCCTTTGTGACCAGCATGGATTTCGCTATCAGTTTCTTTACTTGTTATTTAAAAGGGTTTGTAAGCGAACAGCTTGGATCCTGATCAGACTACGCGTCAACTGTGTGGATGCGCAGACTGGTCTGGATCCATGCTGGTCGCAAACACACTATGTTGATTTTGTTGTGACGCGGCTCATATTATTAACGTTCTTCTGGAATTAACATGAACAATAAATATATCTTAAATTGTACTACTGCTATAATCGTTGAGGCCATTTTTCCAAGGTTTTGTAAAAGCTACCAACACCATTGGATTTAGGGGAAAACAAAAAAGCATCATATAAGTCCTATTTGGGAATTTTAGAGTGACTAACTGAAGCTGCTGAACATATAATAAATGAAAAAAATTCTATTAATAATAATAGCCTTTGAATTCATGTTTTCTAGTATATGTAAATTTCAATTGATTCCCTTTCAAACAAGAATACTTTATCAAAGAATACCAACAAAATATTGATACATTCACACTGACCTTTTGGAATTTTGTGATCTACATGTATACTGTTACTTGGAGAAATTCACCTCACTCTATACTGTAACATTGTTTTTGTTTCCAAACGTGTTTGACAAACAAAAAAATAGGTTTAACTGGAAATTTACTTTTACTTTTACAAACGTTTTTTTAACACAAAGGACTAACATTTCGTAGATTAAGTTTTTGTAGGCATGCTTAAATAATGTCCGAATGGTAGGAAAATGTGTTGGTTTGTGATTCAAATTTTTAAACTGTCAAATCTTCACATTTATAGAGATGATACCCAGGTCAATGTCACAATGGCCTCCCTTTAAAAAATCATGCAGGAACTTTTCCAGCTCTTTTGGGAAAAGGCCCCCCCCCCCCCCCCCCCCCCCCGGTTTTAAATTACCAACAGGTTTTAGGTTCTTAAATATATTAAAGGAATGATTTACAGGTTTTAACAGTACGCAGAATTTAGCAGACTGTTAATTATAGCATAAACTGGGAAGTAATGGTACAGAAATTTGGGACGTGCATTATTAAACTTGCTCTAAAACTCAACAAAATAAACACTGGTACGTGTATAAACAAAATTTATGTTTTAAACTGAACAGTAGGAAGTAAAATGAAATGGATAGAATCAAACTTGTTACTACCACTATACTTGCACATTATCTGTAAATGGTCTTGTTCCTCCATTTCAAATTCTTAATCTCTGTTTTACATTTTTGGACTGGTCTTATAACTCCATTTCACATTCTTCCACTATTCTTGTTGCAGTGTTTTACTGAGAGAATGTAGTTTGGACTTGTCACTCCATGTCACGTTCTTCTACTGGTCTTGTTGATTTGTTTCACATTCCTCAATTGGTCTTGTTGCACCATTTCACATTAATGGACTGGTTTTAAAGAAATGTTTTACATTGATAGACTGGGCATCCGTGGCCGAATGGTTAAGGTCGTTGACTCAAACCACTTGCCCCGTACCCCTGTGGGTTCGAACGCCAACAGGGACTTTGGATTTATTCATGTGAGGAAGCTATCCAGCTAGCTTACGGAACGTCAGTGGTTCTACTCAGATGTCAGTTCGTGCCTGAAATAATGCACGGAAGGGCACCTAAGGTCTCTCTCCACCGGTAAAGCTAGAATGTCGCCAAATGACATATACTGTGTCGGTGTGACATAAAACCCAATCAAACAAACAAACATTGATAGACTGGTCTGTCTATTATTCCTTTTTATCTTCGTTTTTATTTTGCCAGTATACTATATATCCAAAACATTTTAGATTTTGACTTGCCTAATAATCGTTAATGCCATCAGCTTAAGTCAAGGCATGCACAACAATGACCCTTTTCACAAACAATGGACAATAGGGCTACATATAGTCCATTGTAGCAAAAAGGTTAAATATTAAATCATTAAGATGCCTAGTTTTCTAATTGACATGTTATAGTAAACCACCATTTTGTTAAAGGGGTTGAGGGGTTGTGATGAAGTGAAGTAAATATTAAGTGGTTGGACATGACTGGTTACTGGCTGTCAAAATACACAACAATATTTTCTATACTTCCTGGTGAAGAGTTCACACTGAAAAATATACCGGTAGTGACTGGGTGTACTGATCGAAATAATCATTGGAAATTATAGTGTTTTACTTTTTTTCATGTGGAATTTTATCTTATTCAGTGCAGTGAATAGGGTTTAAACTCAGGTAAAATGAGATATTGTATTATCAATCTGCTTTTATCTGTATTATACTAGTTTACATGATAATTTTATGATATGATTTTATATATGCTATGTTATAAATTTCTGAATAATCTCTTGTTTAATCATTATATAAAGTGAAAAACTATAGAATTACATGTTGTAGGGTATACTGTATATCAGATTGTGCAAAATGATATAGAAATTTAAAAAAAATAGTTTAATTTGTGCTAAAACCATGTGATTACTCATAAAGAAAATACAATATTTTCTTCGAGCTATTTTTCTTTTATTTAAGTTTTTAAAATCTTACTTATAACTTATGTAAAAAAATTGTGTTTCATAAGATGAAGCTGTTAATTGTAACTGTATAGTATTCAAAATACAAAATGTAATACAAAATAGTATTTAAAATTTTGAAAAAATATTTTCAAATCAACCAATGCAAGTTCAAAATAATGAGTAAAATACGTCAACACTAGGGCAAGTTTACAATATTTTATTAGTGTCTACTAGTTTCGGTCACTTTATGATCTTTATCATATTTTTAAAATAAGTTTTAAGGGAAGATAACGAAGAATAGAAATATTGGATTAGACTCAAATAGCTTACAGGGAGGATTTCCACAATTTTGTTTTGACAAAAGACAATATACTGAGGTATGAAGTGTATTTAAATTTAGAAAAATAAATTGGTCATAATATATGATGTATATATAGACTGGAATTTATTGGGGTTTGTTTGAAAAACTTTATGTTGGTGAATTTAAAATTAATGTGTTTGGAAAAATATAGGTAAACTTTATTATAATAATTAGCCACATTTGAAAACTGTAGGTTTTTTTTATGATTTATTTTTTAACCCTTTCCATGCTAAATATCCTAAATGGAACTTGTCCGTCTTTCAGTCTGATCAAAGCCATTCATCATTTTAGGGTATTAAATATCAAAATAGTACTGTTTACTATTGAACAGTGCTGGCTGGTCTTGGTCTGTACTGTTGACATGAAAGGTTAAGAGATGTAAAAACTTGATTCTATCTTCAGACACAAATTGTTATTTTGATCAAAGAATTGGTTCATATAAGATATATGACATTGGTTCAGAAATGATTTATTAAATTGGTTCATAGAATGCTTTTGAAACATTTTTCAATACTTATAAAATAGCAAATTAAAAAAATACAGTGAAACTTATGTATGTACATTTTGTCCCTGTGTACTTACATACTTTAATAATATTGCCGGTATATTTTCAGAACAGGTCAAAGTAAAACAATGTATTGTCATTTCATATGATAATTAGTCAGATTCACCCACCAGATACTTAACCAAGTAGTGTTATTATAACTTGTAAATAGAGTAGGGCATTATTTACTATATATATATATACATATATATATATATATATATATATGTATATTAAAGACAAAGAGGGAGTGAAGAGGGTCAGATAATTTTGTGGTTTTTCTGTTAATGTCAAAATAAAGGGGAAACACCAGCACTTGAGTTTATTGTTCTAGTAAGCATGTTTGTAAGTGATGATTGATAAATCTAATTGACTAGGATGTAAATTTTTGTTGTTTCATGTAAATTATGTTGTATGCTAGGTTATTTGTATACTGTAAGATAAGCAGGTGTTCCTTGTTTCCGTGTGAAAATCTGTCAAACTACACATGTTTTTTCCTGTGAAAATCTGTCAAACTACACATGTTTTTTCCTTTGAAAATCTGTCCAACTACACATGTTTTTTTCCTTGTGAAAACCTGTCCAACTACACATGTTTTTTCCTGTGAAAATCTGTCAAACTACACATGGTTTTTTTCCTGTCTAACTACACATTTTTTTCCTGTAAAAATCGGGTAAAAACATCTTGTTTTTCCTGTGAAAATCTATCAAACTTCATATTTTTTCCTGTGAAAAACTCTCTTACTACACGTTTTTCCAGTGAAAATATGTCTAATAACACATTTTTTTTTCTTGGAAAATCTGTCAATTTTATATATGTTTTTTGATTGTGAAAATATGGTTTTTTTTTTGTTTTTGTTTTTTTTTTTCATGTGAAAACTTGTCTAACTTCAAGTGTTTATTTGTATGAAAATCTGTCTAACAACACAGTCATGATGTTTGTTCTGTGAAAATCGGTCATTTTTTTCATGTGAAAATCTGTCTAACTACCAATGCACATGTTTTTCTTTTGACAATCAGTCTAATACCTCATGTTACAATCAGTCTAATACCTCATGTTTTATTTTATTTTCATTTATTCTTTTTTGTGAAATCTGTCTTAACTGCACAATCATGTTGGTACCATGATATTCAGACAAGTTTGAACCAGACTGCCCTGTACACCCATGTTGTCTGATCAGAATTCATACAGGTGCCTGTCAATTTTAGTAGTTATAAGGAACTTTAACTAAAGACATGTATATCAGGGAAAAATAGATTTCCTTATCGGGAAAAAGTGAATCATGTTGAAACAACAATGTTTCCTCAATTGTTCCATCAAATGATTTAAGTAAGTCTAAAAGGTCAAGCACATTCAGGCGAATATTTATTACCATGATATAAAAAATGAGGAAGTTTTAAAAAGAATATTTTGTACATGTATATATTTTTGTAAAAATACTTCAAGAAGAACTGATTATGTAAAACTGAAACGATCTTTCAGGAGGATTTACTCTGACATTATATGATTTATTAGATCTGGTTTTATTGATTCAGTCCAGAATATACCATTGATATATCTATATTGGTGACAAATTTCACTTTCTTATGTCAGTAAAATACATGTTCAGCGTGTGTAAAATTATGATGTGTATGTGCTAAGTCTCCTCAGTGAAATCGTCCATTAAGTAACAGCGGTATAGTTTTAGACATTGCCTTTAGGCAAAGTAAATAGCTGCTTTTAGACATGGCCTTTAGGCAAGGTACCAAGCTGCTTTTAGACATGGCCTTTAGATAAGGTACCAAGCTGCTTTTAGACATGGCCTTTAGGCAAGGTACCTAGCTGCTTTTAGACATGGCCTTTAGATAAGGTACCAAGCTGCTTTTAGACATGGCCTTTAGGCAAGGTACCTAGCTGCTTTTAGACATGGTCTTTAGGCAAGGTACCTAGCTGCTTCAGTGAATATTTGTCATTATTTAGTGAAAATTATAAATTTTCCATTTTCTAAATCTGTGTCAGTAATCAAGTGAGAAAAAGATACCAGTTATATGTTATTATTGTTTCTATCTGTGATTGCTGTATGTAAATTAGGTTGCTATGGGCCGTTAGTAATTAAACACTCCCTGATGTTACAAGTATGTGATGGTAATCAAAATTTATGACTGATACAATTAACTAACTCTTTCCTTGTCAATTTGTGTAAATGATTTGCGGACTTCAAATTTGGATGACCATTGTTTTGTATGCAAAGTGTTTGATTTTGTGTTCAGACTGGTTTGGGGTGTAACAAAAGCAGGTTATTATTGCAATGCAGTTGCATTTAAAAGATAAATTTATATATGATTTTACCTTATGGAATCGAAAGTGATATATCTTTGTTACAACTTTAGAGCCATGTCTGCCTGCACATCCCCTGTACATGTATACTGTTTGTAGGTCAATATTTGTATTTTGATCCTGAAGTGTCTATAACTTTGAATGGACTGTTCTAAAATTGAAATCAGTGCAAATCCAGTTCAAAATCCACAGCAGGTTAAGGGGTGATTAGATAATAATAATAATAAAAATAAATATCTAAATGTAATAAAAAAAATTGAAAAATTAAAAGGCAGGATATGCCTCAGAAATAAATGTTACTTTCTTCTTGAGAAAGGGCAAACTTGTAAAATAATAGATTTTAATCATATCAGAGGCTAATCACTGTAAGTAAGTAGCACTGGATGTGAAATAATTTGTCATATAGGTAGCAAAACATAAACAAAATGGAATTTTGTTCTTCCGATCACAAACACTGTACTAATTGCTGAACAATTTTAAATGGTTCTCATCTATATGGCCAATGAGTTCTTCTTCAGGAAATATAACATGACATCAAAAATAAAAAGTTTTAATAAATGAAAATAATTGAATTTTTGGGGCATAATGGGTCTTTATGGTAGAGTATTTAATCAAATTTATATAAGATATCAATATTACATAAGAACTTATATTTTGGTTATTTATTAACTAACTTAAGTAACTTGAGGGGAAAAATACTAAAAGGTCATTGATAAAATATCTTGGCTTGTCAAAAATCACTGATTGATAATATGTTAATAACCAATAATATGTATCTAAAATAGGTAATAAAAACATACACAAATGCTAGTTACATGGAGTGAAAGACATTATTCATTTAGGAATGTTCAGTGTTAACAAACATTGTCCATAAAAGCTGACTTTTATACTGACCAATTTGTCAGAAAAATTAGACCTTTATTTATACCTTGATTAGTTTTATATATGTTTTATTGCCTGATGTGTTACATTTCTCTCATACCAACTTTCACCTGGCTGAATTTGTGCTATGGACTTGCCCTGGTTAAAATTTGCAGTTGTTCATTGTTAATTCAAGATATTTCAATTTTATAATGGTATCACATTAACTTGCCTGAAAAAAAAATCAAAATTAAGGTATTTCACTGTTATAAATGCTAGCCTGAAATGCTCCTACAAATTTTTCGGCAGTAAAGACTTGCAAAAGAAACTTCTTTTAATTTTTCATTATGATTGAATACTGTTCACATAAGTTTGTTGTCTTGCTTTAATAAAATTTTTATAAAAAAACTCTCTAATGTAATTGTATATGATTTATTTTTTTTACCTTGATTACAATTTTCTGTACACCAGAATAGAATATAGATGTTATCCTGAACTTGGCAAATTATGGTCCCCCCACCGGTACAAACTTTATCATCATAGTTTTCACTGTCACTATAGAATGATATATAGCTTTCATGTTTGCCTCTATATTTAGTTTACTCATGGAGCTAAAATAAACTCTTTTCATGAATATATGGGCAGATCTTCAGCAGACACAAGGTCTGAAGAATCTTATTAAGGTCTGACGCATGTCAAGTTTGCTCAGAGATTGACAGCCAGTTTAATAGGAGCTGCTTGCACTGAATTTAAGAAAAAAACATTTTTCTTTTCATGAACAAATAGATCATCACTAAAGGACGCAATAAAATTTTTCCAAATGAAATTGGCTAGTGATAGTCTTTTAGGGGCCAATAATTAAGAGCTGTAAATAGAAAACTCCCGGCAATTCTTTTGAACCAATGGATGTATCCTCAGCAAACTTAATTTTTGCATCCTTTTAATCCTAACCATGTTGAGTCTTAAAGGATTTAACATTGAAGGTTCAATGAACTAATAGTTTGTTATCAATAATAAAGGTAACAAGTTGGTCAGCCAAGTCAACAGTAGTGAGCCTAGTTTATAAGCAGCTACAACTAAAAATAGAAAATCTTTAATCAGTTTTGATTGCCATTTCAGTACAAAATGCTATTCATCATCCTTTAAAAGGTCTTTTAGTAGGTTTTCTAAAATAAAGTTGGCTTAGACATAGACATATTAAAATGGTTACGCACAGAGTAATGGATGGATTTCCTCCAACCTTTGTCTGTTACAAAAAACCTGGTCTTGTTCCTCTATCAAATGTGTTCAAGGAAGATGGCATTTCCTTTCAAATGCTCAATATGGAGAATGAACTAGCCTTGATTTGAATTTTGAACAGTACATTTAAAAAATAAATGATTTTACTTTCAAATTACAAAAATTTAACTTGAACAGTATGATAGCCTGGTTAGACTGCACCAATGGAGGTGACACTGGCTTGCCCGGGCTCTATACTTGTGGTAAAGGATAAAAATAAATCTTTTATAACTAAATTTTTTATAACGGCTACTTGTAATAATAATCTCACCACAAGATAAAATGTATTTGATTATTACCATACAAATAAGATAAATTTACTTCCTTTTTTATTTGCAGATAAGTCAACGTCACAGTGAGGAAAAGCGGTAGGATTGAGAATGTAACACATTCGTTGACTGGATTTTATTTCATATGAAGACGGAATTTTGTAGATTTTGAAATGGGTAATTGTTGTGGCAAAAGTGACCAATCTGAAACTAAAGATAAAGAGTTTGATAATATAAAGGGTAAAGACGATGTAGTAAAACAACCAAGGAAAAACAGCTATACAAAAGATCCAACAAATTTACCAACTCCGGGTTCCGGAAATGAACAGTTCAATGAGCTTGACTTATCTGGTTCTGGAGGTGAGTTTATTTTGGTAGTGAAAGTCACGTCTTTTATTTTTGTAAGTTGATATTTATTGAAGCCCATGGATGTGATTATAAATTATATGTAGGGATAGTTCTAGTGTCCCGAGCATATGAGTCTATACAAATATATGTACATTATAGCTTGCAAATATTTCAGATCAAGAAAAACATATTTATAGATTATATTTATTTTTTAAAACTCTTCCTCGTGAACCTAAACTTTAGACTTGTTTGTTACATTCATGTGTACATTGTATATGACATTAGCAATCTTTTCAAAGAGCTTCAATAAAATTTCTTGCTTTTGGCAAGAGCGAAAGATTGAATATTTGATTATGTCAATTAAAATTTGGGTTTTTTGAAAATTTACTAAACCAAAAATACATTAAGGGAAAAATAAATGTCAACAAATGGGTTGAAAAATAAAAAAATTGGGTTAAAAATTAAATTTTTAACTTTATTTTTTTTATTTTTGTGATCAGTTTTGTAATGAAATGATTACAAAATACATTTTCGGGTTGGGCCCCCTATCATTTCTGTCCTTCCTTAAAATTTAAATTCCTATAATTGTTACCTTTATTTAAGGGCCCTTAAAAACTTAATGATTAGATAATTTTTTTTATATGATAAATTTTTCAAGATGTTTTTAATGTATTTAAAACAAAATATAAACAAATTGTATAAACCTGCCTTGTTTAAATTTCTATGAACTTGATAAACACAGTATCGCTGTATGGGTTGGGTTCAAACCCCATCAGGGGCAAGATGTTCTTAGAAAGTTTGCCCACGCAGGAAATTTCATCTGGCAGATGAGTCAGCGCATGCTATACAATGGTGTTATTTTCACGCATGTTATACATGAACCACGTTAAAATAATGTCATTTTGGCATATTAAAGATTGAAACTACATCCTTAGGATAACATCATTTCGCCGTTATGAATTTATACATTATTGTAAGAAAAAAGTTAATGATGAAATTAGATTATTTTCCTTGAAAATATTTTTTATATTAAGGTAAGGAATTTTTAAAATTTGATAAAGATGGTAAAATATGCAGGAAAAAACATCTGAAAGAATATCCGTCCCTCTGTACCTGCCCAAAGGCAGTCAAGCATCATATGTCGTTTCCTTGAGCAAGAAACTTTACTCTTATTGCTTTGTACTGGTTGGTTCTAGGAATTGATTCATGAGTATATCGATAAACTTATAGCTTCCTTCACAATTGAACTAAAATAAATTCAGTGTAACGGTAAACTATAAACTAACATATTATTATCAGTATATATTTATGAACAAACAGAGTCAGACTAACATGTTTCAGTTTTTATGAACTTGTTCAGTAATAATATTCTCATCAGTTTATATGACCAGTGTTTGAGTTTTTAGCTCACCTGAGCATGCTCAGGGTGAGCTTTTAGGATCGATGATTGTCCGTCGTCCGTCCGTTCACATTTTGTTGTTAACACTCTAGCGGTCGCATTTTTGCCTAAATCATCATCAAACTTGGTCAGGATGCTTATCTAGTTGATAGCTCGGATGAGTTTGAACATGGGTCATCTCAGATTGAAAAAAACTAGGTCACAAGAGCTAAAAATAGAAAAACTTGTTAACACTCTAGAGGTCACATTTTTGCCTCAATCATCATCAAACTTGGTCAGGATGTTTGTCTAGGTGAATAGCTCGGATGAGTTTGAACATGGGTCATCTTGGATGAAAAAGTAGGTCACCGGAGCTAAAAATAGAAAAACCTTGTTAACACTCCAGCGGTCACATTTTTGCCTCAATCATCATCAAACTTGGTCAGGATGCTTATCTAGTTGATAGCTAGGATGAGTTCGAACATAGGTCATCTCGGATGAAAAACTAGGTCACAAGTGCTAAAAATAGAAAAACCTTGTTAACACTCTAGCGGTCACAATTTTGCCTCAATCATCATCAAACTTGGTCAGGATGTTTGTCTAGGTGATAGCTTGGATGAGTTCGAACATGGGTCATCTTGGATGAAAAAGTAGGTCACCGGAGCTAAAAATAGAAAAACCTTGTTAACACTCTAGTGGTCACATTTTGGCATCAATCATCATCAAACTTTGTCAGGAAGCTTGTCTAGGTGATAGCTCGGATGAGTTCGAACATGGGTCATCTCTGATGAATAAGTAGGTCACTGGAGCTAAAAATAGAAAAAACTTGTTAACACTCTAGCGGTCACATTTTTGCATCAATCATCATCAAACTTGGTCAAAGATGCTTGTCTAGGTGATAGCTTGGATGAGTTCGAACATGGTCATCTCGGATAAAAAATAGGTCACCGGAGCTAAAAATAGAAAAACTTTGTTAACACACTAGCGGTCACATTTTTGCCTCAATCATCATCAAACTTGGTCAGGATTTTGTCTAGTTGATAGCTTGGATGAGTTTCGAACATTGGTCATCTCGGATGAAAAACTAGGTCACAGGAGCTAAAAATAGAAAAATCTTGTTAACTCTAGTGGCTACTGTTTTGATCCAAATATCTGGTAAATTGGTCTGAAAGTTTGTTTTGATGATTTCTAAGTCAAGTTCGAAACATGGGTCATCTTGGATGAAAAACTAGGTCACACCGCCCAAATATTGAAAAACCTTGTAACATTCTAGTGGTCACATTTTCGACTCAATTATCATCAAACTTGGTCAGGATGCTTGTCTAGGTAATTGCTCGGATGAGTTCGAAATCGCATGTGAAACTAGGTCACCGGAGCTAAAAATAGAAAAATCTTGTTAACACTCTAGTTGCTACTGTTTTGATCACAGGTATCCTGGAATTGGTCTGAAAGTTTGTTTTTGATGATTTCTAGGTCAGTTTGAATATGGGTCACCTGGGTAAAAAACTAGGTCACACTGCTCAAATATGGATAATCCTTGTTAACACTGTAGTGGTCACATTTTTGACTCACCTGTTCATGAGACTTGGTCAGAATGCTTGTCTAGGTAATTGTTTGGATGAGTTTGATGGGTCAGGTGAGCGATCTAAGGGCCATCATGGCCCTCCGTTGTTTAGTTAATAGTAAATACTGGTTTATTATGTAGGTGGATTGACCACCGAGATCTGTTCAAAGATGTATTAACATTGGTGTAAAAACACCAAAAAAAAACAAGAAAAACAAGCAAACAATGTTTACGTTCATAAATTTTTTTTTATAAATTTATATGAGTATTATAAATAATGGTAAACCAGTTTTGTTTAATTTATATAAATTTTTTACAAAACAAAATTTAGATTTAAAAACATATTTGTGTATTATGTTCAATTTATTAACTTATTCAAAAAATTTATAATGAATATGAAATATTTGTGGTACTTTATACGAGGTATGTCCGGAAAGTTCATATACTTCTTCATTTTTTAATGTATAACAATACATTTGTTGTACTAAGTTTGTCAGCAAAAATATACATATCTGGCGAACATATTTATCAAAAACTACTTATAGTCTGATTTTATTGACCTGTCAATTATGAATACATTATAGCACTCATTTAAATATTCGATCCCACTTCGGTTTTTTCCGTTTATTTTACGAGAATTAATATGGAGTATATCACTTACGTTTGGAAAACTCTCACTAGATTAATGTAGGTTCTTGTAACATCCGCAATAGCACAGTTGGTTAAGTGATTACCTAATGCATGAGGGGTCCGAGGTTCGATCCCCTTTTTTGACATTCTTTTTAGACTTATTCTTTCTTTTTTTTAAGTATAATTTTATGAAATGGTCAAGCGCTTGCAATTTGTCTACACGGATATGAACCAACTAAGAAACACTGAATTGTCACATTTTATATTGTATAATTAACATTTATTGATTTTAATCGGAATGAATTTTCAAGTATTTATTCTTAAAAACATTGTTTATAAAATGTATAGTATTTACAAAAAAGGTGCAAAACATATTAAAAAACGAACAACATAACTTAAAAACAAATGTTGAAAATCGTTATGAATAAAAAAATCTGGACATACTCTGTTCTCGATCCTACAACACGTTGAACATTCAGATAAACTATATCCAGTGGTTTCCCTATTGCACCATATAACGTCAGTGTAACTATTCTAAACAAGATCGAATTTAATCACATTTTACTGCGCACATCTCACGGAATTTACCGAACATTTTCGAATATTAATATATTCTGTTGCATTGACCGTATAATCAGTATGGAATTGACAGGTTAATAAAATCAAACAATAACTGTGACTTACATTTGTATTTTAACAGTAATTACATACAACATACATACCTCATCATGGAGCACTTTGACAACGTCAACGGCGTCAAATTAACTTCACGTTTACCCGCTATTTAATTTCTTCCAATTTCAACAGCCATGGTACCTGTCTGGCGTATACTTAATACATGTTATGTTACTTTTACTTTATGAATTTCATATTTAAAATTATTTAAAATCAAAAATGTCACTGGTTCTCCTACAGTGTGTGAGATGTCTGTCTTTTCAAAGGTTGTTGTAACGCAATACACGATATTTTGCCAATGCTACCTTTGGTAGTCTGTAGCGTTTCTTATACGATATACTGTCATCGCCGCTTCTTAATCTTGTTTGACATTGAAACACAAGTTGCCTAAAATATTTTATGGTTGGTTTTGTTTTTAAAGAAAAGATTAAAATCTCAGTTGTTGCCATATTAGCGTTGCTGTGAAGTTAAATATCCTTACGTTGCTCCGTCTGTGAATTTGACATCATTTTTGCAACTCAAAATTTATGCACCTTCATTGCCTATAATCGTGCGTAAACAAGCTGTTTATTTGCGTATGACGTCATAATTTTTCACTAAAATCATGTAATTGTATCTGCATGATGTCAAAAATTAAAATGACACTTTGCATTAAAATTACAATTTTAGCAATTTATTATTCGAGAAGCTATCGTCGTGAAATCAAAGTGCTCCGTGATTCGATGATCATGTTGCCATGGTGATCGGCGCTTTGCAAATATTACT